GCCATCTGAGGGCCTTTTGAGACAATCTGAGGGCCCTTTAAGGCCATTTGAGGGCCCTTTGTACTCGGTCTTCGGTGGTCTAAGGATTAGTATAACTATTCTATTTGCGTCGGTTTGCGGGTTTTTTCAAGTGCTCAGTTTTTGCAGCGAGCTTTTTCTCTTAGGGCCTGCGAGATAGCCGCGGAACCACATATCTCTTAAGCATTGGCTTCAGTCACAGGAATGCGGCTGATTCACGTGACAAACTCGATGGCGGTCCCTCCATCCCGGAGAAATTCGCCGAGCCGGCGGCCGGCCGGCCGCCGTAAATGCCCAGTCGGTGCAGGTGCTGCCACCTGCGCAGTCGGCCGGCCCGTGCGGCAGTGCGAGGTAGTTCCATCGGCGGCCGCTAGAGAGATATCGCTATGCGCGTCGCGTCTAACCTGACGAATCTACAAAAATTTAGATAACTTTAATAAGAGGGACGGCAAAGCCACAATTCCAACGCTGAATGTTGGGCAAAAGCAAAGGAAGCCAACACAGCCATCTGTATTTACTGTATTTACCCTTTTCAGTCAGCGATAAGCCCCAGCAATCGCACCGCTGCGAAACTCGCAAGCTGTTCACCGTGCAGGGTATTCCGTTATAACCACCCACCAGCTCACGAGACGCGGATGTTACCCTAGAATAGGTAGGACGCGAGAAACGAGTTGGGAAATTTAGGTAGATGTTACACATTTCAAATTTGTGGGAAGTTCTACTTAAATTGCAAGCAATTCAATGACAATTTAGCAAAACCATCTGAGACAAAGGCACATTCAACAGTTCATTGGTCGTTGTCTGATTTAAACGTCGGAAAATAACAAGTATTTCGCGGTATTTAGGCAAGTAAATGCCAAGTGTTTTAGAACAAGTTCTTTGCGGTATTTAGGCAAGTAAATACCAAGTACTTTGGCAGGTTTTCAGTACCTACATTAGCAAGTTTTCAGTACATTACCAAGTAGCAGGTGATACAGCAAGCTGGCAGGTATTCTGGCAAGTTCAACAAGTTTTTCGCGAATATCTAAGCTTCTAGACGTCCGATCAACACGGGACGAACACCAATCGGTCCCAAATTTTCTCCTCAATCATTTTATGGCCAACGCGACGCGTAGCGAGCCAAGATATCTTGTTAGAGGCCCATTTGAGGCGGCCTTCGGCCGCCTCAAATGGGCCCCTTCCTTCGAGTTGGGCCCCCCAACTCGAATGGGGGGGGCACGGGCCCGTGTGCCCCCCCTTGTGTGCGCCCTTGCTGAAGTCGATATGATGTGATTTTATGCCCTCAGCTCGGTGCCAGTCATTGTGCTGTTATGTGCAGGTGTGTGCAGGTAGCCACTCCTCGCTCTCCTGCACGCCGTCAAGAGGACCAGCCCCGGACCTGCAAAAAACATTACCAAGTTTATTAACACAATGCAACATGAAAACATTTCACTAGGCGATGGCAAGCAAACAATCAATGTCTCAAAAGTGACTTTTCTTTGACTGCCTTTTTTATGTGCTGACATGAAGTCTCAAAACATGTACCTATTTTATATTTATGTATTGGTTGCAGGCCTGACTCAGAATTCAGGTGAAATAAGCAAATAACACAATTTATTTCGTTAATATTTTGAATTTGAGTCTGGCATTACTGTTCCATGCACAGTTGCGTCTGCGTATAAAATCATATGAAGCAAATGCATTAGGTAAATAGTCTCAACAAACAGAAATTAGTAGTACCACAGGTGGTATAAATAGAAACCAATATATAGACAAGGACGACGAGCTTGTTTAGTTAGCAAATGTCAATTACATAACTTTTACATAAACAAGAATGGGATTTTCAGCAATAAGCATGTCAGAAATTCTTTTAGATTCAAAATTTTCACCAAAAATTTGAAAGTTTAGATACAGATGATAAAATGTGGCAACAACCAATATTGAAAAGAAGTAACAATAAGCTTCAACTCTGCACGCAAGATGTGCCAAAAAATTGGTGAGAAATCGCTCGTGCTGAATTTTGAAACACGAAAGCCCCTGACGCTTTGACAGTGTGTGATTTTTTTTTTTCCAGTGTGGGAGGTAAACATAGATTGATTTGTTATTTGATGCTATTTTATTTTACAAATAAGTAGTTATTTTCACAAAGTATTAATATTTATAGAAGCTAGCCACTTCCGAAAGAATTTACAACTATTCCAGCTCCTTCTCATTATCTTTTCAACAATGCTAAGGCATTTTACAACTTAACCGCGAGTTCCTGGGGGGGGGGGCGTTAAACGCCCCTACTTTTTTCGCCGGGCCATAGCATAAAAACGGCGCGCCGCAGGCGCGCCAAATTTTTGGTACCTGTAGGGAATTTGTTGAAGTTTATTGTGACAAAGTTTCAAAAAAATCGGTTGGAATTTTTTTGAGATATCGAGGTTTTAGTGACGTCATGATTTTTGAGTTTTCGACCAAAAACGGTATATGTTCAAAAAATCATATAAAATCACAGAATAGACATACAGACATGCCGTAAACGCCATTAGACTGCCAATACCATGAACAATCAAATGGCTATCTTCGATTATTGATTATCGTTCCGCATTTTCCAAAATCGTGAACTGAATCTTGGCAATTTCTCGTGACTACTTCGCGACCATGATAGATGCATTAACCCGCGCCCTGCTGGGGGTCCTGGATTTCCACGCCCTGCTGGGGGGGGGGGGTGTTTGAACACCCCCCCTTGTAACTCGGCTCCTGGGCCACGTAGCGATACGCGGAAGGCGGCGTTCGAAAGAGCGTCAAAAATAATGACGAAATCACTTCGGTCAATTTTTTGGTCAGGTCAAAGGTCAGGTCACCAGAGGCCATTGAAGGCAAAATTTCGCCGATTTCCAGGTCGAATGTCGAAAATTTCCAAGAAGCCAACGCATAACTCGGGAACCAATAGAGCTACAGCGCCGCGGAAAAGCGCATTCGATAGCCCTATTAACGCCCTTTCTGAGCAATTCTCTCAGATTTGACCTAACGTCAACGGTTTTGCCTGCAGGGGGCAAAAACTGCAAAAATAGCCGATTTTTTCGGAAACAGTTTTTCTGCAATAACTTTTGACCCAAGCCTTGTACGAGCTTATTTTTACCGGCATCGTGTTCCTCTCGTCAAGACGCATCGAATGAACTATGACTTGACCTTGAAAGGTCAACTTGAAAATTTGACCTCAGGTCAAGGTCATGACCTGACCGGAAAGGGTCATGTTGCATATCAGTCGATCCATATCGTCGAGCTGAACACATCTAAGGCGTTTTCAGCGCTCTAGCATGCCTCTATCAAAAGTTATTTGCGAAAAACTGTTAGATACCATTCGTGACCTAAGATGACCTCAGGGCATAAACAAGGGTCACGGACACCATTTTCAAGTTCGGTGTGTCTAAACCACTTGTAATTCGGTGTTTGGGAGTGTTTATAATGTCTTTCATCCAAAAGAGGCGCATTTCAATTTTCTCCCATTGACTTATAATGGGGAGGTCGCAAAATTGACCTAACCTTAGGTCATCGATATCAAAATTCTGAGATATACATTTTGTGCATGCTATTGCTCTTAGCAATCGCTGAAAGTTTCAAAGCGATCGGTCACTCGGTGTAGCTATGACAGACATTGAAAGTTTTTATGAGGTGAGGTCACTTCAAGTGACCTGGTGACCTGACCTTGAATGACCTTGGTCTGAAATTTTCACAACATGTGTAGAATTGATGTATGATAAGGTGTACCAAAAACGGCGGCGCTCCGCGCCGCCGTTTTTTAGATATTCGCGAAAAACCACAAGGGGGGGTGTTCAAACACCCCCCCAGCAGGGCGCGGGTTAAAGTCGAACTTTTTGAGCCAAACACGTACACATATGATAAAATGAATGTCAGCATCGTGTTCTACGCCCCAAATTACACATAAAACGTGTGTCACAGGCTGCGAATATCAGTTTTGATTTTCGGGGATATGTGCGTACCCGGTTGACCTGACCTTGACCCTGACCTATGCTTGACTGACCCCTACATGGAGCTGACACTCTTGTAGGCCTTATATGATTGATTGTGCACCGTTTTGACAGAGTTTATGACGAGAGGCGCCCATTGCGAAGTCCTGAAGTCCATGCTACTAAAAGCCCGGTTTCAGGTGTTTGACCTGACCTTGACCCGACCTGTGACCTCAAAATTCAACTTTAAAGTCTCATCTGAAGCGTCTCGTCGCGTTCTTTCGTTTGCCGCCTCGTGCGTTTCACTGCGCCTATTGGTTCTCGAGTTATCGGCTGGGGGCGTTTAACGCCCCCCCCCCCGCAAACGGTGGGTGGCGAAATACCCCAGCAACTGCCGGATTAATATGAGTTTATCACGCTCCCTTTGAAAGCCAAAAATGACAAAAAAAAAATGGTTAAGCCGGGTTGGACTGAAACGTGGCTGCTCTGCCTATGATACTCATGCTTATACAGTTGAATTGAATACCTGAGCTGAACTGCTGAAGCTGGTCATTCTTCATGATCTCTGAGACAAGTGTGTGAATGCCACTTATGTGTATGCTTTTCCGATCTTCAAACACATAAAAAGTGATATTATTATAAAATAAACAATATTCAAACTCTGTATAACAATACACGCAACGGCTGCGTTACAAAGGTGCCGTTACAAAGGGGTGCCGTTACAAAGGCTATACCCCGATCTACATCTACATCTACACGCAACGGCTGGAAAACACTACGCCGGTGCGCCAGAATTGACAGCATCGCCTGAATCTCAGCGACCAATCAGCTTTCGACCATCCCAGTGACGTCATGTTGGCAGCATTTGGTAGCGATTTTCCGCTTATGGCCCGGTAAAGGGACGGACCCCCCCCTGATCAAAACGCTATATACTCTGTTTTACATGCAAATACTCGTATAATGTGAGAACGAACTTCAGGGACACCCTGCACTGTATACTGGTGGTGTGTCCGGTGTGTCCAAGGCTATAGAACTCGGGTGTGCCGCCAGGTCTGCCGGAGCTGCGCCGGGCCATCTGCGACTTTCACCTACGACACGACCACATCCAGCTGGATGCCGATTACATGCTCGTCGGCCCCGGCTCCAAGGAGCTCCTTTATCTAACCATGAGTGTCTTCAACGGAGGTCAGTGCTTGGGGTACCTATTCCACATCAGATTGAAAGCAAATTGGCTGCTTTGTGCCAGGGGGTTACGGTTCTATGCTGCCACATAGGGAGGGCTCAGGAGACAGATGACGTCACGGGGTGTCAAGGTTTTGTGGATTTTTATGACTTTGTTGTGCAGTAAATTATCTTTTTTTAGGCTCTAAGGGAGCCTAAAGGTTAATATCAAACTGCCTTAGGGTATAAAATCCTCGGAAGATTAATATTGGCGAAGATTGGTAGACACCCGCTGACGTCATCTGTCAAGGTCACCGATGTAAACAAACGGCTAACCATTCTACCTCCTATATACGGCCTTGCTTTGTGCCATTTCATCCAGGGTATATACAACATGAATTACGACGACGTATTTGGAACTGTCAGACGTGTCTCGAAGAGCTCCAATATTTTTGCGTGTATTAGCGTTTCCGAGTCATACCCTAACTCAATATGCATATGAATTTGTTCCTAATTTCACGCAGATAAGTCTAGATGTATTTGCATTGACGATAGATAAAGTAGCTGACCAATATAAGCTTGCAAAGTTAAGGATTTTTTGGCCTAGTTATTTAAAAATTTACTTACTATCGGTGTCGAACAGCTCTCGATTTTTCACCGTCGGTCTCGCGCTGATCTTCAAGAAAGATCTTTGCGTTGCAATTGAGCCCGGAACTTGCCATTTGCAAAGGCAGACACCATCAAATCAAAGATGAATGATTGTCAAGTCTCCATGAGTATGGCTGATCTGAGGAAAATTATTAGCCTTGAAGTTGAAGAACGCGTCGCTTGTAAAGTCAAGGAGATCGCAGAACAGCTATCATCTGACATGAACGCTATGATGCGCGGTGTTTTTGAAGAAATGGAAAGGTTGGGGAAACGCCTTAAAGACATTGAAGTGAAATGTAACGCCCTTGAGGAAGGTTCGGCTCAACTAGCTCAAACAGTGAACAAGGAGGTGAAAAGGATCGAACCGAGCGCAACTGTAATCGAAGTTGAACCAAACGCCACAGAGCAGAGAAGTCAGCGGGGCAACGAAAAGGAGCCAAGCATTAAAGGGACTATCCCACCTTTAACATGGGGTTTGAGTTGAGATAGCCAAGTTTGCGGCGAGGTTCAGAAACCACTATCTATCTAGGTTGCAACCCCCGCGGCCTCTTGGTGTTGAAGAAATTCGTTCCCTTCATTTGAAAATGGGCCTTGTACAAGGCCCTATCTTCAACATGGAGCGACCGTTAGTGTGACGTCACCTCGTTTAGTCATTCTGATTTAAATGGGTTTGTTCGTTGAAAAATCGCTTAAAACTTGGTCTGAACTTTGTTGTGGTGCCTACAGAGTAAAAAGAATCAGCTTTATGACAGTAATGTGGCCTGGGGAAGGAGGTAATTTTGGGCTGTGACGTCACATATTTGAAAGTTTGTGTTTGGAATATGGGAAGCCTAAGATGTTTAATGAAAAATAAATGCCAGAACCGTGTTCCTGGTCATCCAATCTATAAAGTCGGGCACAATTTAACTGGTTTTAACAACATTTTAGAAGGTGGGATAGTCCCTTTAAGATGGATGCGGTCCCCTCAGAGTTAACATCCAGCAGTGACAGTGATTGGACTGTAGTCACGTCCAGACGCAAGAGAAAGGCCACAGGCTTAAGACCTCGTGGTGCACTGCTGCTCGGAGGTGACTATAGGCCTGTACACATTCAGCTGCTGTGCTGTTGCCAGCCAAAAATCACTCACACTATTGGCTGAAAAATTGATGACGTTATGTTGCACATGCAACATGACGTCACCTCTCTGCTGCCGGCAGCATGGGCTGACGGGCTGTGCTGCTACGAGAAAGCAAGTGCAGAGATGCCGAGCCGTCAGCAAAAGCCATAAATGACGCATTTAGACACTGGTAGTGGCGCATGAAAGCAAATCACGTGCCAGATTTTTATTGAGCACTGCAGATAAATGAAATTTGGACACCATGTTGGCGCTATTCACATATATTTGGTTTCATAATTAATTGTCGATACAAGAAAAATACTTATTACTTTCGCACATTGTCAGTAAATATTTTGATAATATATCTAACTGCTTAAGTATTGTATTGATAAAGAACATGAAGATGAGACGAAATATTTGTTTACAACGCCATATTTGTGAGCAGTCAGCCAGTGCTGACATTTCTCATCAACCAAATGTATACAGTTCCGTCAGCCAGAAGCGGTGGGCGGAGCCTATTTCAGCTGACAACAGCACAACAGCTGAATGTGTACAGGCCTAATGTGCGTCGAGTCTCATACCCTGCCAGAGAAGAGTTCGAGTTTGAGGAATGTGTACACTTCTACTCCCAGACTAAGGCTACGATCAGTGATGTTAGACACCATGTTGACGAACTTGTACGCATTAACAAGGCTAAGAAAACTGACATAGTTGTCATGACTGGCGAAGAAGATGTGCTCACACGAAGTACAGATTACATCGTAGAAGAACTCGGTTTGCTCGTCTCTGAGGTCAAGAAGAACCCTCGAGTCGCTGATGTAGCGATCTGTTCGGTCATAGAGAGACGTGATGTCTGTCCCAGTATGACACGCAAAGTTCAGGAGCTGAATGACAGTATAAAACAGCTCGTCAAGTGTGAAGGTGCTAGATACTTGGAACTACACCTTTTTACGGCCAAATATAGAAATAGTGCACACAGTTCAGAAATAGTGCAACCATTTCGACAGTTCGGCATAGTGCACCGCTTCTTGGGCCGAGTGCATGAAATTCAGTAATAGTGCACACGGCTCCGAAACAGTGCAAGCAATTTAAAAGAGAATGCATTCATTTTCAGTAGTTGCGATTTCAGTTTCGCCAGAGTGCATTGCTTCGTCATATGCATTGGTATTCGGCGTACCGCAGAGCAATTTAGTTAACCTTCAAGCGAATTCGGTGCCCCATCTAGAAAATATTTTTGACAACGCTCTTGCTGTTCATCAAGTGTAGCGTGGTGCTGTTCAAACAAGCTGCTAATGAAATTTTACTAAATTATTGAAATTTTACTGCTAATGAAAATTAATGAGATTTTAATGAATGTAATGAAAAGGCCCAATTTAGGCGGCAGTGCACACATTTCAAAAATAGTGCAGGCGATTTCGACAGTACGGCATAGTGCATTGATATATTGAATCGCGGCACGATATTCGCCATATTGCAGCCATTTCGTCATAGTGCAGGTTTAAAGTGACCCAGGTTCAGGCATATTAGACATATCGCACATTATTCGTCAGATCGTTTCAATTTCGGGGTCCCGCATGTAATTTAGGCACTGTTCAGTAACACGGCATTGCATAAATAAGTAATAACAATTTTTATTTGACATTTCACGCTACCTGAGCCTCCAATGACACTCGTAGTCAGTCAGCAACGCAAAAAAGTCAAGTAGCCAGCTGCACTGCTCTGGATGCAAAAGGTAGAGGGTATTTAATGTTTCATCTGGGTGCCTTAGCTTCAATCATATAAGACATAGTGCACATAATTCGTCGGGTGCTTATATATTCGGCATGAGCAATATTTTTTCGGCTTTGTTCAATCAAATTCGCCATGATGCTGAAAGGCGATAACAAGAATCCATAGCATTTCTGATCTTTTTGAACCAGCAACGAAGTTATGCACCCGATTCAGAAGCCCTGAATGCCACGTGACCGCCACTCGACCGTGTCACCGAGTTCTTAGAGCGAGACTAATGATAAGTTAATTCCTGAGAGCTGAAACTGCATTTGAGCAGGTTTTTGACCAAGATTCACGCTACTCTTGACAGGCAGATAGGGGCTTTCAAAAATATTTTCCCAATCCAGCAGCGAATTCACTTGAACATCGCCTAAATCGCTTTGCTGGACGCCGACTATCAGGCCACATGACGAAACCGTGCACTATGACGAAATTGAACCTACGGCTCATTGAATTTGAACGCACCATCTTCTAAATTGATTGCTCTTCATTTGAAACGTGTGCACTATTACCGAATATCATGCACTTGGCCGAACTAGAGGTGCACTATGCCGAACTGTCGAAATCGGTTGCACTATTATACTGAACTGTGTGCACTATTTCTATATTTGGCCGTAAAAAGGTGTAGCGCATTTCACGTTCACGTGACATCCCACATTCTTCATTAGCTCCAGAGCTTTGCTGAGGGCTTAAGTTGCGTAGGAAGGTGAGATTTGTTTACATAATCGCTTATTTATACCGTGCTGGATTTATTTGAACGTTGCCGTAAGCACATGCCGTATGTCGAATTTGAATTAACCTGACGAATTATTATTTGCACTAAGTCCAATATGTCTAACCTGAGCCACTTTTATCTGCACTATGACGGAGTGGGGTGCACAATGACGAATATCGTGCCGCGATTCAATATATGAAGGCACTATGCCGAACCGTCGAAATCACCTGCACTATTACTGAAATGTGTGCACTTCCGCCTAAATTGGGCGTAAAAAGGTGTACGAGAGAGACTGATGGAATGCAAATATGGAGGGATCAACAAGACTGGCCTAAAGCTGACTGCAGAAGTGGCCAGAAATGTGGCTCAGCTAGTGCTCAGCGAAGTTCAGGGTTTTTTTTTAGAGTGAAACGAGGCAGTTCTAGAGCATCGGTAACTGGAACAGCAACAGAACAGAAGAAAAGTAATGTTGGACTCCGTATTGGTCACGTTAACGCCAGATCTCTTTTCCCGTCTATTGATGATGTTGCGAGTATGCTAGGCACATGGTCATTAGATATTTTATGTGTTAGTGAAACCTGGCTGTCACCCCAAGTGAGCAATGACTTTTTGATATTCCCTGGCTACAACATAATTCGCCGTGACCGTGAGAGGGACGGAGCCAGCTTCAGAGGCGGTGGGGTGTGCATAATATACCGAGAGAGCCTTCGCGTTGAAACAATGTTGGTACCGACGAGCAGCCCCTCGTCACTGGAGTCGGCGTGGATCAGTGTCTGCTGCAAAAACACAGTGCTG